CTTCCTTCCTTCCTTCCTTCCTTCCTTCCTTCCTTCCTTCCTTCCTTCCTTCCTCTCTTTCATTTTTGAGAAAGGGTCTCTTATAGTCCATGCTAGCCCTGAATTTACTATATAGGCATAGATGACCTTAAACCCTCAATACTCCAGTCTTCACCTCCCAAGTGCTGGATTACAGGTGTCCTCCACCACACTTGACTGAGGTAGTACTGGGATTGAACCCAGGACTTTGTGCATGCTAGGCAGGCATTCTACTAACTGAGCTACAGCCCCAGCCCATGATTTGTTTCTTTTTAAAAATATACATCAATTGACTTTTTGTGCAATTAATACATCTTAATCATATTTAGACCCACTCCCCTATCTGTATCACCCATAACCCCCCATTAGATTTCATGCATTCTGTCATGTATGTTAAGGCCTATTGAGCCAAGTTGTGTCCCTAGTTCCCATGATATGAGTTCACCCACTGGAGCTGGGTCAGCCTATTTAGTGTTACTGCATTAAAGAAGACCAGCTCTCCCTCAACCAGCAGTGATCAGCTGCTAATATTGGGGCATGCTTTATTTCTTAAGTCATCTTTTTGAGGTATAGTGCATATACAAAAGGTTATGCACAATCAACATGTGCAACTTGGTTGATGTGGAGGTCACCATGTCTGTAGAATCAGTGTAGTGGAGTCCATTAAGCTCCTTCCAACTGCCACCATTGGTATTTTGGTAACAAGAACACTATGTGAACCTAGATGTGGTAGCCACACCTTTAATCCCAGCACTTGGGAGGCAGAGGCAGGCAGATCTCTGTAAGATCAAGGCCAGCCTTGTCTATAGAGGGAGTGCCAGGCCAGCTCGAAGTGACAGGGAGACCCTGTCTCAAAAGAGCTAAATAAATAACTAGATAGATAGATAGATAGATAGATAGATAGATAGATAGATAAAGATTAAAATAAAATAAAATAAAATAAAATAAAATAAAATAAAATAAAATAAAATAAAATAAAAAGAGTACTTTAGAGATCCCGTTTTGGGCCAGTTTTTAGTAATACAAGTGTTAACTACAGACACCCTATGTCCAAGCAATTCCAAAAACTCCTGGAAAGAGCTGCAAAGATCTGCGTCATTAACTTCCCACTGGGAAACCCACTTGATGTCAAGCTTTGTTCCTGGTGAACTAAGGAACTTTTCTCAAACAAGTTACAGCTTGTGGGGCTTGAAGAGAGCAAGCAAGGTCTCCTACATGGTTATCCTGAGATTCTGAAGGGGGGTGGATGACTGAATGCAGGGCCTTACAGCGTCTTACTGGGCAGCTCAGGATGGGACACGGCACAGCCAGCCTGCTTCTGCCCCAAGCCTCTCCTTCAGGGTCCTCAGTCCAGGGGCTTCTCATTTCTACCACCATATAATCATACTTGCTCCCTGAATTAATGAAACTAGATTTGTTCATTCAGGGCTGCTAAGTACTAATTACTATTCTATGCTCCTCTCAAAATAAAACTTTTGAGACAAGTGAGTTGGAGGAGGCGGAACAGGCTAGGAAGACAGGGCTGAAGTCAACTCTCCTTCAGGAGCTAGAAATGGTGGTTGCCAGCCAAGAATGGCTCTGAAAATTTGAGAACATTCTCTCTGGCTAGTGGTTATCTTGGAAGGAATTGGAACACTCCTGTTGTTTACACTTAAGTTTCTTATGGAAGAAGAGGGGCAGGATGCCTTCTGTGAAGCCATACCACCAAAAGGAGGAATGCCTCCCCGGCTCCCCTCACTAGGCTGACTCATGCATTCTTGTTCATGCTGGAGCTGTGCTATTAACATCCTTGCCAGTGACACCTGGGGGACTCAGCCTCATCTCCTTGGGCCAGCTGGGTGCTGGGCTTTCTTCTCATGGGGCTTATGTTTCTACGTATCGCTGTATGTACTGTGGACACACACACACACACACACACACACACACACACACACACACACTACTCCTGCCTGTAGTCCTTGCTGCCGTATGTCCTGCTGGGATCACCTGGTCCAGGAGGATGCACTCGAGGTGGCCTTGCTCTCATTAGTTCAGAATTCAATTGTGCTGGTTCACTTCCCTTCCCCTCCCTAGGGAGGAGGATCATAATTAAAAACCTAATCCCACTAACTATGGACCCCAGGAGGGTGCTGTTTGGTGCTTTTTCAAGGTTCTCTCTGGGTTCCTGCTGGACTGCAAAAGCCAGGGCTGACTAAACAAACAAGAAATTAAAAATGAAATAGTAAAAAGTCCTATTCTACACCCTCAAAGGGTAACAGCAGGGTCTGAAATCACACCGGCCATCTTGTAAAAATGAATATATGTTTATGATCTCTACCAATGCATTTCTTTCTACAGAGTTTTAAAAGGAAGCATTATACTACCGTTTTCATCCAGATATGCCAGCAGGATTGCGCTTGATTCTGTCCCTTCGACAGCATAATCTAATGGGATATTTCCATTCACATCCTGCAGAAGGACATTGGCTCCAGCCTGCATGAAAACCAAAAAATAATGACACATTAAATGACCAAGATAAACAGCACATTAAAAAATTTCACTTTGCTCTTGGCTGGGAAACAAAAATAGTTTGTTAGACTATCATTGAAAAAAAATCAGATTTTTAAGCGAATACATTAAATAAATTTGGAGTCTCCAGGCTCCCAAACCTTACTCAGCCAGTGGCTACAGAGCCCTGTATGCTGGGTCTTGTTGTATTTCTCTGATAGCAGAAATGTCCAGTGCCTTCAGAAAGTCTAAATGGTAAAGTCCAGCTGAGTTGAGACTGATCTTCCCCCTTCACTCCATTAAATCTTGAAGCCTTTTGTCTCCCACAGAAATCTGTCTAGGAATGATTCTCATGACACACTGATTTAAAGCCTGTGCTAATGGCCCCTGTTTGGTCTTTCTCTACCAGAAACTGTCTTCTAATAAAAAGCATAATCTGTGGTTATCAATGGATTGACTTCATGAAACATGCTAATTTATGTCTTTGAGTTTCAGAGGAATTTAGCATGGCACCAACGAATCTACCTGTCCTGGCAGTTTACACAGTTCAGACATGTGGCAAGTTTGATTTCACTTTTAAAAATTGGTCACAAGATTGTTCCCTATTTCTCTGTATCCTTTAATGATCCAAGTATTTACTGTTCATGGTCTGAATATCTACCCTCTGCTCCAGACACAGTACTAGCTCAATTCATTGACTATTCAAGCACTCTTCAGAGGTCTCTTACTCAATCCTTTCAAAAGCTAATAATTACTTATATTCAGTATTCCTTATTAAAATGTTATTGGTGGGAATTCTAGCTCTTATCATGACGATGATGACCCTGTTTGAAAGCAGAGTGGGTTAGAGGATGAAACTTCCAGGACAGGGTGTGGGGCTTCCTGTAGGTGTGCTGTTGGTTTGACGACCCTGCAGAGCCCCAGACTGGTGGGAGGTAGGCATTCACATTGTGCAGTGAGTCACTCTTTATAAAGCTTTACCTGCAGTGAAGATTGAAACTTGTACCTTGGGAGTCCAAATGACTATAGAACTTGATCATTATGAGAGAAAGAATGTCTACAAGGCAGCAGTGACACACGAAGTCTTGAATGCACTGGAAGGCTTAAAAAATGGGAAGGAATGGAGGGAATGAGAGAGGGAGGGAGAGAAGGAGGCCGAATGATGGAAAGACAAAACCCTTTAAATGATCAGTTGAAAACATAAAGAGAGCTGGAAAATTCCATCCCCACTGAAAGTAATTTTGGAAGTTCTCCGTGCCGAAAACCAACCGCAAAATTCAGTGGTACGGGTTGCTAACATGCCATGCCAGTTGAATTCAGTCTCACCAGTATTGTTTAAAATCAGAAACTTGAAATTAATTGGTGTGGAATGGGATCCTAAAACTTCTTGATGGAGAAGACTTCTTGGGACTATGAAACACACAGAGTCCTGAGATTTCGGATTACCCTGAGCAGCCTTCGCAGGGAAGAAGTCTGGTATCCTGGCCTGGGCTCTCTTTTATTGTGTAAATATTTAGTGAGGCCAGGACTTTGGAGGTGCCAGAATCCACCAGGGAAAGTTGCATGTATGGAATGGAGTTGGCCTGAGAGAACTTATGTTTTCAGTAGGCAGCATAACTGGACGGGTGGGGCATCACAAGCCAAGTTCCAGATACTGGACATGGAGCTGGAGGATTTGTGGTTTGATTTACTGGAATTTTGTCTTGCTTTGGTCCAGTCATTCCTTGCAATGCCCCAATTCTTGATTCTTTCATTATGGAATGGGAATGTTTACTCTGTGCCATTGTATGTCACAAGCATGTAATTTGTTTTTTTATTTTATAGGTGTTCACAGTTAGGAGATTGCCTTGAGTCAGAGACTTTGGAATTTTAAACTGTTGGAATTGTTAAAAGACTACAGGGACTTTTGAATACAGATTATATTTTTCACTATGAGATGAACACGAGACTTTGGGGAAAAGAGGTGGAAGGTTATGGTTTAAAGTGCTGTGTTTGGGTGTCAAGTTGATTAGTGCAATTGTGATGATGGTTAATCTCAATTGTCAACTTTATGAGGTCTACATAAAGTTGGGAGATCAGCCTCTGGGCATGACCTCGGTGGGTTATGTTAAGTTAATTGAGGTGGGAAGACTTGCTTACTGAGGGTGGCACCATCCCCTAGGCTGGGATTCTGAACTGTTTAAAAGGGAGAAAGTGAGATGAGCCATGAGTATTCAGTGCTCTCTGCTTTCGGACTGCAGATGCAGTGTGACCAGCTGCCTCAAGCTCCTGTCACCTTCACTTCCACACCACGCTGAACTTTTTCCTGAAGCAGTGAGCCAAAATAAACCCATCCTCCTTTAAGTTAATTTTTCAGGATATTTTAGCACAGCAACAGGGAAATAAAGACAAAGGGAATGTTCACTTTCTCATGGACTCATCATTCTCTGTGTCTACTAGATGACACCTAGGATGGAATTTCAATATCTTTCATTGAAGAAGTAGACAACAGGGTTCAGGATGAAGTAGCTTATGTATCCAGAGGATAGCAAGATTCTCACACACATGTATATGTACATATATACTGCTGGAAAATATATATTGACGTGGACTTACAGAGTGTTGGACAAAGAGGACAGTACCTAGTAAGGAACCCCTGATTTAAAGTACCCCAATTAGCTTTAACTGTCAACTTGACATATCCTAGAATCACCCGAGATGGGAGCTTCAGCTAAGAAATTGCCCAGATCAGACTGGCCTGACATAGAAGTGCCCACCCCATTGTGGGCATCACCATTCCCTGGGCAGTTGGTCCTGGGCTGTATAAGAAAACTAACTAAGCAAGAACCTGCAAGAAAACAACAAGAATCACTCCTCCATGGTTTCTGTTTCAAGCTCCTGCTCGAGTTCCTTCCCTGACTTCCCTAAATGATGGGCTATGACCTAGAAGTATAAGTCAAATAAACTCTTTCCTTCCTAACTTTCTTTGGTCAGAGTGTTTTATCACAATAACAGAAATTAAACTAGAAGGTAATGAAACAGATGTTACAGTAGGAGACAGTTCACTATGACTTATACATAAATGTGGACTCTGCTTAAGAAGTCTGGCTTGATATGGTGAATAAGCCTGATGCTCAAGACAACAAGGAAGCTGGAGCAGTTTCCTGTGCTTAGTGGAGGCAAGAAGGGCCCTGCAGGGGGTGGAGTGTTTCTCCCCTCTGGTCTGGGACCCTTCCTCTGGTCCCCATTACAATGACAGGACTCAGCATGCACATCCAATCTGTGTATCCCAGCTAGTGCCACGGGAACCAGAAGAAAGTTTCCCAGACTGTCCAGGCATGGTATTGTTTAATTAAGATGTCTCTCTGTTTATTCTCTGTCCTGTTCACCCATCTAATGGAGACAATGGGGTATTGAAGTCCCCTACTATTAATGAGTTGGGGTTAATCTGGGTCTTAAAGTCCTGCAGTATTTTTATGAAGTTGGGTGCACCAGAGTTTGGTGCATATATGTTCATGATTGTAATATTTTCTTGGTCAATTGTTCCTTTGGTCAGAATGAAGTGACCCTCTTTATCTCTTCTGATTAGTTTTAGTTTAAAGTCTATTTTGTCGGATACTAGAATTGCAGCTCCTGCTTTTTTCCTAGCACCATTTGTTTGGAATTTTTTTCCCATCCTTTCACCTTAAGGTACTGCCTATCACTGAAAGTGAGATGGGTTTCTTAGAGACAGGCTTCAGATGTGTTTTGTTTCTCAGTCCATTCAACTAGCCTTTTGACTAGGGAGTTCAGTCCATTGATATTTAAAGTTATTAATGAAAGATATCCATTCAACTAGCCTTTTGACTAGAGAGTTCAGTCCATTGATATTTAAAGTTATTAATGAAAGATAGGTGTTGATTCATTTTGATTTCTGTTTGTATTCTTGGTCTGTGTGCTTCCACAGTTACACCTTCATTTAGTTTCTTTCTGTTACCACTTTGGTATAGTTGTTCCTTTCTTCAGGACTTTGTATTGCTTCAAGAATTCTCTAAAGGGCTGGCTTTATGGACATGAATTCTCTCAGCCTATTTATGTTATGGAAGACTTTTCTTTCCACTTCAACTATAATATATTTTTTTGCTGGGTAAAGTATTTTGAGTTGGTATCTATGGTCATTTAGAACTGAGGATACTTTGGTGCAGGGTCTTCTGGCTTTCATAGTTTGCACTGAAAAGGCAGCTATAATTTTGATGGGGTTTTCTTTATATGTGACTTGTTTTTCTTTTTGCAGATTTCAGTATTTGTTCTCTGTCCTATACATTTAGTGTTTTTACTGTGATATGCCATGGAGAGTTTCTTTTCTGTTCCTGTCTATTTGCTGTTCTATGTACTTCTTGTATTTGTATGGGCATGTCTTTCTTTAATTTGGGGAAATTTTCTACTACAATGCTGTTGAAGATCTGTCCCATACCATTATCCTGAGATTCTTCTCATTCCCCTATACCTATAATGTGTAAATTTGGTCTCTTTATGGTGTCACACAGTTCCAGCATAGTCCATTCTTGTATTTTCTTGGATTTTTCAATCTTTGCTTGAGCAGCTTTAATTTGGGGAAATTTTCTACTACAATGCTGTTGAAGATCTGTCCCATACCATTATCCTGAGATTCTTCTCATTCCCCTATACCTATAATGTGTAAATTTGGTCTCTTTATGGTGTCACACAGTTCCAGCATAGTCCATTCTTGTATTTTCTTGGATTTTTCAATCTTTGCTTGAGCAGTCTAATTCATCAGCTTTATCTTCCAGTCTTGATATTCTGTTTTCTATTTCATTCATTTCATTGGTGAAGGGTTCTTCTGTCATTTCAAGTTGGCTTATTGAGTTTTGCACTTCCTTCTTCATTTCTGCCTGAGTTTTCTTCAATGTTTCTTTTGTGAATTCATTCATAAGTTTATCCCTATCTTCGTTTAGTTCCTTGATTTGGTTGTTCGTGTGTTCCCCTATATTCTTTTAGTTCTTTGA